AACATTTTAATCGTTTGACAGCCCAAAAAAAAGACACACAAAAGGCTTCCACAAGAAATAAATAGAGAAAGAGTCGGAAAGAAGAGAGAGCTGAAGTGACTGGCTGCACAGCGGAAGAAAAAGCGATATCAAATTATGGATTTAGGTTGAGTTCATGTATGGGTACCTCACCGCTGATGTTCAGAATTCTTTGTTCAGTTTTCGTGCAGTTCACTCTGAACCAGAGCAGTGAAAATGGCCTGAACCAAGCATACTCTGCATCAACCAGAGGAAGCAGCTCATCACAGCGTCTACACCACCTCTGCTGCTGTGACCTAAAGTGCTGTTTTATTATTTTACTTTTGTAGTGACATATTCATTTATTTGTTTGTATGCATGGATGTGTTTCTGCTGCTGGACACCTACAGAGATAAATACATTAGCTATCTCTGTATATATTTTGATATCTTTAGGTTTGAAACCTGAAATGTGGCGAAATGTTGAAAGGTTCAAGGGGGCTGAATACCTTCGCAAGGCACTGTATCCATCTATCTGAGATCATGCTCACGATGTTACGGGTCTAGTCTTTCCATCACTGCATGACGAGACAGTACCTCCAGTCCACCAGGGTGGCACTCCTTCTTTAAAAAGAAGGAAAACCAGAGGATGTGTTCATGTGGATCACCCTCCTCTGCACTGGACCAGCTCTATCAGTTTTTGTGTTGGGGAAACCGGAGGAAACCGGAGCAGACACGGAGAGAACATTGCCTGGCCTGCCAAACAATATGCTTTTTCAAAGACATATAGTCTGGGAACAAGCATGATCTCAGCGAATTCCGGGTGGGCGTGGTTGACAGACTGCATCAACCAATTAGATGCACACAGGATATGACGCAGCAACTAGCGGCACCCAAGCCGTTTCAGTAAACACAAAACAAGGGATGGCGGCATGTCAGCTAGTGCAAATGTAAACGACTGCTGTCGATTTTGTAACAAAAACTTAAAGATACGAGGAGTTATTAGCAACTCAAAGGTGAAAGGAAGTCCCGCCTCTCGGTGCGTGATTGGACCGATGTGGGTAAAATCGTGAAATGATAGGCTAGGAAGAGGTGTCCAGACGGTTCTTCTTTTGAACAGAAAGGAGGAGTGTCTGGCAGGCCAGGCAAGAGAGAACATGTAAACTCCATGCAGTAAGGATCGGAGGTGAAATCAAACACAGGATCTTCTTGCTGTGAAGCACAAGCTCTAACCACTTCGCCAACATTTAGGTATGTAATAGGAGTAGGGTTAGGATTTAGGGTCAGAGTTAGGGTTAAGGATGGGGGCTGGAGGGAGTCAGATTTGGAGAAATGTTTGCTGTTTAAAGAGGTTTAGGGTTTTTTACCCCTATGCTGCCATTTGGCCCAGGACGCTGTAATTTATTCAGCTCATTGCTTCTAAACACCAGGACCTCCAACCTGCACTGGGGGTCTGCAGGCCAGTGTGAAAATCAAAATTTCTTTCCATTATAGTTGGACTTTTTAATGATGAGTAAATGTATGGTCACAGTAAAATGAAGAAATCTGTCATTCAGGTTGGAATAGAAAAATCATGAAACATAAATCGTAAAAAATGGGTCAAAGATTGCTCAAATTTGGCAAACATTTATTCATTTGAGCAAAATAAATACATTTGACCAAATACTGACTTAATAGACAAGAAATGTCTCCCTTGGAATGAGAAAATAAAGCAACAGTTCTTGAAATAAATCAAAGTGCTTTGTCCCATTGGCAGAATGTACTTAGATTGATTCAAGCAATTATTACCGCATTGTCACTTCATATATCATTTTTTGCTGTGCATTCTGTTTATTTATCTATTTCTGTTGTGTTGTTGAGTTGAATCATGCATGAAAGCTTGTTTTTAAACATTGTACAGTTTGCACAAGGCTTTAAAAATGTTTGTAGATTTTAATTACAAAACAAAGAAACAAAGGAGAAAGTGGGCTAAATACTATAGATTGGGCGACGCATGACGGTGGGATTTTGGTGTTAAATGTAAACATTCTTTACAGTGAACTAAATCCTTGGATTACGTAGTTGCTGTACTTTTTATTGCCTCTTTTACCTTTTACCTTTATTGGAGTATTTATATTTATACAGTATTTATATGACCCTTACAGCACTTTATGGCAGATTAGTACTTATGTGCAATACCTGTGTGATAGTTTAATAGTATTGTACAGTATTTACGCAGATTAAGTTATTATTGTGCTTTTCTGCTTTCATTTCAATCAATTTTATTCAACATTTATATTCAGCTTATTTGCAATTTTCAGTAAAAACCATGTTGGAATACATTTGCCAAAGTGTGCACCAGACAAGTACATTAATTAAAATATGGTTAAAAAAAAAGTACAGAAACAATTGTCAATTGGCGGCACGGTGGCTGAGTGGATAGCACTCTCACCTCTCAGCAAGAGAGTCCTGTATTCAAATCCCCGTCGGAACGAGGTCTTTCTGAGTGGAGTTTGCATGTTCTCCCCGTGGTTGCGTAGGCTTCCCCCGGGTACTCCGGTTTCCCCTACCACTAAAAACATGCACACTAGGTTAAATCTCCAGAAGTCCAGACCAAGCCGAGCATCAACATCTGGAGATGGGTTCCCGGGAGCTGTACTACGACGACCACGTAAGCCTTAGCGGCATCAGGATGGGTCAAATGCAGAAGATTGAATTGCCCTATAGAGGGATCAAAAAAGTGCACCTTTACCTTAAAGTGCTTCGTCCAGACTGGTTAGCTGTTAGTATGTGTGTTCATTAATCATGCAAATGTATGTTTCACTGACTAATTGTGGCCATACACGCATCTGGAGATCCTCTGAAGCTAAGCAGGGCAGGGATTGGTTAGTGCTGTGATGGGAGACCTTTGGGAACTGATGCATTATTATTATTATTATTATCTAATAGTAACAAAGTAATGCAGCGTTCAGACCGCCAACGCTGGACCGCAGCTTCTGCGCGCACCAGACGCACATTTTCTAAATTTCAGACGCAGGGGTGTTCAGACCAGAAGTCCTGCCGTGCGATGGCGACCGCCGGAAGTAGCGGGCGGACTTTGATGCTCATGGATGCTAATTTTCCGCTCCTGCGCCTCTGCTGCGCCTCTGCTGCGCCTTTGCCGCAAAGTCCGTGTGTGCATACCCGAGACGCACATGCAGTTCCATGCTCAAACGCGCGTCACTGTTGACTTTGCATTGAAAGTTGCCGCAACGCATGATCCGGTCTGAACGCGGCATTAGTCATCTTTATTTATGTATCATAGATTAGCGGGATTACCATACAGGAGGTGTGTGCCAGACCTACATATGTTTAGTGGTAGGGGAAACCGGAGCACCGGAGGAAACCTATCCAGACAATGAAAATGTAAACTTCACTCAGAAAGACCTGGAGGTGGAATCAAACCCAGGAAGCACAAGCGCTAACCATTGCGCCACCTAGCCACCCATTGCAGTTTCTGCTTTTTCATGTTACTAAGAATTGTACACGTTTTTTGGCTTTTTTCCCCCTTTTTTTTCACAGTTCTGTCTACTAAGTGAACTCGGTTAAGAGCAGCCTCATAGGAATTTTACAGTGCTCGTCTGCACAGTATAACTTCCGCTGCCGTGAAATAATATTTACCACCCAATAAATGTCAATGTAGCATTATTAAGACTTACTACACCTTACAGCTTTAACAAGGACCTTTTACTGTGCTACTGATTCTCCCACCAGTTAAAAGTCTTTAGTGATTATACACAGAAGCACCGGGGCGCCTCTGACAAACATGTCTCTTCCTCCCCCCCCAGATCTTTTTTTTTTTTGGCCAAAGAGAATAACAAGTTTACAGCAAAGAGGGGATCAAAGTCCAGTGGTGGGAGACCTTGAGGAGCCGGTTCATGGAGAAATCGATGCTTTGATCGGAAAAATACAGTGTTCAAAAACAACTGAGAGGTACAGAGAGAGAGAGAGGGAGAGACCGGAAAGGAGGGGGAAGAGGGCAATTACGCACTGAAGGGTTAACGATCATATGGGTGGCCTCATCTCGAGTGTAATACCATCCAGGCAGAGGTCACTAACTTGGTGGCCTGCAGACCCCTGGGAAGATGCTCAGATACTCACATGTGGGTCGCCGTTGCCAACACCGTTTTTTAATAATTTTCTAACTAACAAGCAAGTAAGAACACTAAAAAACACACAAGGGAGGCAAGGCAAGTTTATTGTATAGCAGAGTTCATACATAAGGCAACTCAAAGTGCTCAACCAAACCTTGCATTTGTTGATCAGTCGTAACCTTGAACATAAACACAGTACAGTTTCTCAATAGAATACCAAAATGTAAGCATCCCGTTTGATCTTTATAAGTTTCTGTGCGGCTGTGTCCCAGTGCAGAGCCGACAGGAAGTATAGCATCGTCAAAACAACATACCTTTCCAATAAGAACATTACAGTATGTGCAGAAAGGATAGAATATGGAGGAGGGCTGACAGATTTACACACATTACATACAACGTGTTCTGTGACCGTAAAACATACAGACAGAAATATGATAAGAGATGTCCCAACCTCCATGTAACTTCAATCTGGTAGGTATAGAATGTGCTATCATTGTTTGATGGCTGCAGACTCTGAGGCCACTTTAGGCATTGCACTGCAAAAAGTGTTTAAGTATAAGCCAAGTCTTACTCAAATTGGCTGAATGTATCCTAGTGAATGTATCTTGAGCGCATTTTCACTGCCTTAAAACCCTAACTGCCAATTAGAAAAGGCAAAATGATATTGTTTTATAAAGTTAAAATAAGATAAAACTGTGTGTTTTGTCCCACACAGCAAAAACATTCCAAGGGAGACATTTCTTGTATCTTTATAAAGCAAGATATCATTGCTTTGTCCCTTTGGCAAATCTTGTTTTAAGGCAGTCATACTCAAATTAAGATAATAAACAAACAAAAAAACACTTGATTAACGCAATAATGACCTCATATTTTTTCGTTTTTTGCAGTGTGCATGAGTGCCAGTGAAGGGTTCATCACTTTCCACACTGATGGCACCGGCGAGGTCATCCGGTGCATGTTTTTTTCACCTCTCTCATTTACATACCAGTGCCACCCCTTTCACCTCTCCCCACACATGTGTATGGAGTTATCAGAGGGGACAGAAAGACCCCTGTGAACCCGCTATGCTGGCAACAATCCAGGGAAGGTCACACATGAAAAGTTGCAGCACCCTCCAAACCCTACAACAAAAAGTGAAAGAAGTCTAGAGGCTGTAAAACTCGGGTTATGCAAAGGATACACTGCACAATGGTCGTACAAAACAAGTTGAATAATCCATTCCCGGCAAGTGGACTGGTGTTTGAACTGCTTTGATCAGGCAGAGTGACCCTGGGGTTCTATTCTGACTTTGACACAATAACACACAAGTACAGGCTGCACCCTGGCACGGCTGACGCAGGACAGATGTTGTAATGACTAGGGGAGAAAAACAGCACATGCTAAGTCCTTATGAAGAATTAGAAGATAACTGAACAGAAAGTGAACTGAATTTACTTTCAAAAGCTTGAAATCAAGTGTAATCAATGATTATGTACATAGTATAATCTAATGCGAGACAATAAAAAAGCATTTGGATTATTAGGACCGCAGCTTCTAATAATCAATCAATAATTAGGAGATTATGTCAATTGAGGGTATAGATGTGAATGGTACCTGTTGTGTTAATCAGTGGCGGTGCATTATCTGTCACTTTGAATCAAATAGGAAACATTTGAAATATAGGGTCTCAGTTTATCTATATATATTGCTGAGTCCTGGATCTACAGCCCATACGTGGGAAATTCATCCTCTTCGGACCAATTAGTGCATCACATATTCCAAAAACACATTTTCTCCAAGTTGACATGATCCTAACACTTTTAGTTGCTGAAAAACAGTATAGCTCCATGTGGTGCACGCAGGACCAAACCATACGCTGAACGCGGGAGCTGGACTCAGGAGCTGGACTCGGGAACTGGACTCAGGAGCTGGACTCGGGAGCTTGAGTCGGGAGCTGGACTCAGGAGCTGGACTCGGGAGCTTGAGTCGGGAGCTGGACTCGGGAGCTGGACTCAGGAGCTGGACTCAGGAGCTGGACTCGGGAGCTGGAGTCGGGAGCTGGACTCGGGAGCTGGACTCGGGAGCTGGACTCAGGAGCTGGACTCAGGAGCTGGACTCGGGAGCTGGACTCGGGAGCTGGACTCGGGAGCTGGACTCGGGAGCTGGACTCGGGAGCTTGAGTCGGGAGCTGGACTCGGGAGCTGAACGAATCGCTGTTTCGATTTGTCAACCTCCTGGATTTTAGTATTATTATTATTATTATTTACAAAAAACAACATATTTATTGTGTATTTTTTTTCTTGTTTTGACGCCATTATTTAAAAACCATAAAAAATAGACTTGCTTCTGCGAGTTGTTACGACCCAGCTCAGCTAGGGTGAGGGAGGTAACAAATTAAAACCAAGATGTTCAATGGAAAAGCAAGTATTTAATAAAAGGCAAGTAAATGATAAGTAGACACAAATCAAAAGGGCACAATACAGGACATAACAGGGTAACTCAACGCTACCAAAGTAAACCCTACACTAAATCTTTACATTAATACACATAGAACTAAACACTAAACCTACTGTTGTCTCAACTGATGCGAAGTGTCACGAAAACAAAACCTCAAGGTGACAAATAAAAAGAGACAAACCAAAACAAAGCTATACGGACTCGTCTTTAGGTCATTGCCACCACTGTGACAATGACAGACAGCATAAGGACACTTGGCATACCAGCCACACACAGGCTGGCAGCCCCGAACAGGTGTGGAGTGTGGCCTTAAGTGCAGAGTGACTCCAGGTGGGGAAGCTGGATTGGCCAGGTGCACCGCTGCTCCTCCAATCAGCACCTGTGTCACGGACGTCTGGGAGGCGGGAGGGCCAGTGGTTCTCCAATCACAGGCCAGGGATCTTTACACAAGAGGGGTTGCCACACACGCACACACAAAATACAAAAACAGGGAGCAATATGTAGGCTCAGGGCCGTAACAGAGTCATACAGCATTTTTTTCTTCATATTTTTATTTTTTGACATAAATGTTGCATTTGACATTTGTTAGGATACTCTTATTTTTTTATTCAAACAGAACCGGGCAAAATATACAAAAAAGATGTATTGGAATATTAATAGTTAATAACTAAGTAACTCTAACTTCTTATCACATGTTACATATTTAAATATATGGTGTTTTCCTGAGATTTAAAAGTAAGCAAGATTTCCTGAGACTTTAAAGTAAGTATAATTTTCCATAATGGGCCACCCATTACCATCAATGGGGCAAGTTACTGTGATAATGATCATTTACAATCATTACAGGGTCCACAAAAATATTCTTGCAGGCTGGATTTGGCCCACGGGCCTCAGTTTGACATGAATTCATTAAAGGGATCATTCACTGGTCCCAGTTCTCCACCGAGGTTTTCTCAGGGTACTGATGTGGACTATTCTGAATTGAAAACACCATCTGCTGGGAGTGAGTAAGAGGAAGTACAGCCTGGATCAAACTATGATTAAACATCCCAGGACTTTACGATCTTTTTTTTGCCCTTGTTGCCCGTAAAATAAGTTGGCGCTTTGTTTTAGGACGTCTGCACATGCATGTTCTTATCCCTGATCAATCTCCCTTTGTGTTTACTACGTCACAAGGCCATGCACCTCTTTTCACAGTGGAACCTGATACTGTCACTGTATGCTCAGGAAAGTTTTTGACCTTGTGATTGTTCGAGTGTGTTGCCATCTTTTCCCCGGAGCCTGTTTGAGGCTCCACTATTTACCATCTTGCACTTTATGAATGAGTAGTAACATAACACATGCCACATGTCCGGAAAAATGAACATTTCCCTGAAGAGTGCTCTGGATGTTGTTCTAAGAGCCGTTAAACTGTCCGTCACTACAGTGAAAAACACATTAGGAAATAATAGAGCAGCAGTAGCCGACAGAGTTGACAAAGTTCACATGATAACAAGGGGAATACTTTGTTCATGCTTGGTTTCTTTTATAATAAGAACATAGTCTAACAGACACTTGGTCAATGTTTAGAACAAATGACGTTCTAAACATTGACGAGAAGTTTGTGGTTAGAGGACCAGACTTCTTGGTTTGGAAGAGGAATGAGAATGTTTACAAAGCACTGGTGAAATCCTCCATCCACTCCCATGTAATCCAACGATAAACAAATGTTAAAGATGCATGTGAAAAAGATGTAATTTCCATTTTGAGGGTAAACAGTAGCTAAGTTGGTAGAGCATTGGCCTTTGAGCCAGAAGGTTGTGGGTTCGAGCTCACCACAAGACTTTCTCCACAGACACCCCTGCTAATAGATCAAGGCTATGCAGACAGAGCAGCCATCCTCCTGTGGACTCACCACCTGCAGGAGGATCAGTGAGGGGCTGGTGCTCTGTGGATTGGGTGCAGCTATGACTCCCACCACCCCAACCCAGACATGGATTGCCATGTACATGTACTGGCAGATATACAGGTATGTTTATAAGTAAATGTTTATTTGTGTTTCAGTGCCGTTGACAAAATGCGAGTAGTAATCTTTATGTAAATGGCACCTTTCACAGGCCAGAGTCACAAAGCACTTTACAAGCCTTTGTGTCTCTTACTCCACACAGAGGTGGGCCCGGGGTGAGCATACAGGAGGCACATGCCGTATCAATTGTACATGTGTTTAGTGGTAGGGCAAACTTTGAGAAAACTTACGCAGACACAGGGAGAACATGCAAACTCCACTCAAAAAATGTGTAAAATATGTGACTAAACTCAGGCTGTAGAATGAGAACTTGGCTGTATAGATCCAGGACTCAGACTGTAGAACGAGGACTGAGGCTGTAGATCCAGGCCTCAAGCTGGAGAACGAGGACTGAGGCTGTAGAATAAGGACTTGGTTGCATAGATCCAGGACTCAGACTGTAGAATGAGGACTGAGGCTGTAGATCCAGGACTGAGGCTAGAACGAGGGCTGAGGCTGTAGATCCAGGACTGAGGCTGGAGGAGAGGATAGTTCTCAAGTTACCATACGTCTCCAGCAGGAGTCTCCATATGCAGCTTGACTAAAAATCTGTGTTTTTGAGCACGCAGACAGGATCAAAACTCAACAGACCTGTTTGAGAATCCCATTGAATTTCGAGAGTTGTTTGAATGTACACAGACTGGCCTCCTGCTGGTGCTCAGGACAAAACATGAGGAGGCAGCGTTTCAGATTTTAGCTGCATAGAGATGAAACGCTGCCTCCTCATTTTCCTAAAAATGTGAGACAGGCTTCTTCTCTGATAATGTTCAAATCCAGGTTAAAAACAGTTCTGTTTAGCTGTTCATATCTTTACTCCTTGATTGACTTGAGTGATTGTGTTTCTCTTGCCTTGTGTATGAACTGTTTTTAACAAAAATAAACTTTCCATGCCTTATGTTTTGTAAACACATTCAAACAATGACCCATGCCAATAGATAATACTGAGGTTTATGCCGTTACTAAAGTCATGGCACAATTAGTGACAGTGATCTGGTCATCACTAATACTGACGAGCCAATATGCTTCAAATCCTATTATTGAATATATTTACAGAAAGTGTGTGTGTGTGTGTGTGTGTGTGTGTGTGTGTGTGTGTGTGTGTGTGTGTGTGTGTGTGTGTGTGTGTGTGTGTGTGTGTGTGTGTGTGTGTGTGTGTGTGTGTGTGTGTGTGTGTGTGTGTGTGTGTGTGTGTGTGTGTGTGTGTGTGTGTGTGAATGGTTGGTGGTGGACGGAGGAGCCGATGATCCTCTGCAGGTGGTGAGTCCACAGGAAGATGGCTGCTACATCAGTGATGCCACAGCCGTGATGTTTCAGCTGGAGCTTCAGGCAATGTGGGGTTAAGTTAGTGGGAGCAGTTGGAGTAGGTCCCATAGTGGGTTCAAACCCACTACCTTCAGGCCCAAAGGCCAATGCTCCACTATCTGAGCTACTGTCGCCCCCATGGATTCATTCATTTGATATGAATACATATTTTGGACACAACAGAGACATTGTACAGAGCAGATGTACTGCCTTTAGAGAAACAGCAAGACCGTGGTAATATTCAAAACTTGTCCATAGGAGGATTTTAGTACAATTTTAATTCAGTCTGAAGAGGCTACAAGAGACAAAATGTTTTAAACGATTTATTGGTTGTTAATTTGTTTGCAGTTTATTATTTGTGAAGTGTTCGGTGAGCGGTGTTCTGCTTTAAAGCGCTGGCTTGATTGGCGCGACTGGGAGGGGAGTTGACAAAAGTGCATGTGATTGGTTGAGGAAGAAAGGGGGCAGTCTGGTGCAATGACGAGTGTGGGTAGTCTACAAGTCTGAAGTTACACTTCATATGTGTACATTTATGTCCTACTGTTGTGTTCATATCAAATACATCATTTTACAAATAAAACTTGTAAAACTTGGCGGACCCCCATTGCTGTTGCAGTGTGTGCAAGTGCCGAGAGCCTGTGCCTCAGGAGCACGCATTTATCTCTCCACAGCACAGCCATAAACCACCATTGTGTGTGGAGTGAGTGACAAATCCTGTGAAGTGTATTTGGACGTCATAAAAAGAGTCAAACAGATCCAGCTTTAACAATAAAAGCGGTAATAGATAAAAAATCTACGATTACTGGTCACTGCTGTCATGCAAACGACCAGTCTGACGTAGCGACCCCTGCTGATCATATAAGAATAATGAAGCTAAAGACTGAAAGAACTAAGCTAACAGCGCTCACAGTCCTCCCACTGCTGCGTCACAACAGCAGCATCTGTCAATCCCACTCAGCTGCAGCAATCAGGCATCCGCATCAAGCCTCACATTTCGAGGAAGCTCCATCCAAGCAGCAGCTTCATTCACGCCACAACCCTCCTCCTCCTCCCTGTCTCCGCCTTGTTCCGGGCCAGCTCTTTCATCCTTCTCGAGGTTTTCATCTCATAATCTCTTTCCTCTTCTGTAATCAAGCAGTGCTCTGCCGGCGTCTAAACATTTTGGCACATCAGCAAAACATATAATCTTGAAAATATTGTCCTCAGAGCTGTATGTTTAGGTTCTGTCTGATTACTGCCAACAAATATACAATTCTAATAATACCCATGCTTTGCCTGTTCAAGTCTCTCCTGATTGAATTGCATTTGAGAAGTTTGTGCTCAGTAAGAAGTTTATTTGTACAGCACATTTCATACATAAGGCAACTCAAGTAATTACACTCTCCCACTGCGTGTGACTGCA